CCGGCGGTCAGCCGCCCCGGCTGGGGGAGGGGGGGTGAGCGACCGTTACTGCGGAGGGTTTTTACCCAGCGCCGGGGTTTCACACGGCAGGCCCCGCAGCGGGGCGCCCTGGTGGGCATCCGCGGGGCTTGGCAGGCTTGGTGGAAAGGGGTTTCCTTGGCTTATCCAGAGCAGCTCCGGCTCCCCTGGCGCCGCAGCAGCCAGTGCCTGCCTTGCTGTCTCTGGGCTGGGGGCGGCGGATGCGGTCGTGTGGGGCTGGCTGTCAGTGGTGGGGTGGGCCCCGAGGGGTGCAGGGGCCTTGCTTCAGTATCATGTAGGCGAATGGTAGTGGGAGGGGACTGTGTGCCCCCCAAAGAGACCAGCGAATAAGTGTCACCTGTGCTCACCAAATGCTCTAAATGAACTTTGTTTGCCTCATGGTGGAAATTAAGAAGATGCAAACATGCTTAGAGTAGCAAGGTCTGAAAGGAAGAGAGCAGTTCACAGGTGTTGGTCAAGGCGATGTTTTCAGATAGCGAAAGGCTGTTCAAAACGGAAGGGTTTCTTGGCCCCTTGGAGACCTAGTTATTTGCTGTGACCCTAGGCACTACTCTTGATCCTGTTCCTGAGTTTTCCTGGTGCATGTTTGTATTTTTTCTTTGGAGTAGACCATCTGGGAACAAAGCAGGACAAGTCTGGGCCCCCGAAGGATCTACAGCTTTCAAGTGTCTCATCTCAGCCAGGTTCTGTGCTGCTCTCTTGAGCAACATCTCGGATTGTGATGAGACATTTAACTACTGGGAACCGGTAAGTGGCTTCTCCTTGGAGGGATTTGGCAGTTTGCACTTAGCCCGTGCAAATGTAGATTTATCTAGAATGCGAATCTGTGCTTTTTCAGAGGAAATGTCTTACTTGAGCGTTCAGTAATGGGAAATGTGAAACTGCGGACTCCGTTTGATGCACGTTTATTTGTTCTTTTAAATCACCTTTGTAGACACACTACCTCGTTTATGGGAAGGGGTTCCAGACGTGGGAATACTCTCCAGCCTATGCCATCCGATCCTATGCTTACTTGTGGCTTCATGCCTTACCAGCCTTGTTCCATGCTAAAGTTCTGCAAACTAATAAGGTAAGTGAGACGTACCAAGGCTTCTCTTGTGAGAAATTAATGTACCTTTAGTCTGGGTTAAACAATTGCTTTGTCTGTTGTCAGTGATAATGGAATTGCTGTTTGTGAGGGTTTGTGAGGTGACTCAGGAGTGGGGGGGGGTGAAGGGAAAATGATTGGAGAGTTGCGGGGAAGTGCTGTCATGCTCTTTGTTCACTGAAAAGCTGTCTTGGATGGATTGGGGGCTCCCTGGTGTTGTCAGTGTCTGCAGGCCTGGGGGCAGTTAGCCAGGGGTAGCAGGCTCTCATTCAGTGTGCGTCAGTGGTTGATTTCACCCCCATGTTTCAGGAGCTGCTATTATTTTCCACCGCAGCTATCAGTGACTGCTTTGATTTTTTCTTTCGATGAACTATTTTTAAAAACACATATTTTGCAAATGACATTGTGAGCTGACCTTGCAGGAGTGTAAACAAAACCGCTGAACGTGCATTCTACTTGAGTAGCCTTTATCATGCTTTGAATGTTTCTCCGCAACAGAACATAGGGGCATTTGTGGTGTTGCATGGTATTCGGTTACCTGGAGCATATTAGTTCTGGCAAATGCTCTTCTTTATGGTCTTCCAGAATAAAGAGGGATAGGATCAGTCAGTTCAGTGCACTGTGTTCACCTTATTTGCTGCAAAGAACCTCTGGATTAGAGGGCTAGGCCTCGAGCTACTGGGAGCTTTTGCCATCCCTTGGTGTGCAACCTGGGTCTACAATAACATGCTCGTTCTCTGCTGCCAAACTTGCTTCATCCTGTTCAGAACTTCTGTTCTTGCGACCTGCTTGTTAGCAGCAGGTGCATCAACTTCGTTGCAAACCTTGTTCTGACTCTGGGTCCGTCTCCTAGGTTCTTATCTTCTATTTCCTCCGATGCCTCCTGGCCTTCCTGAGCTGCATTTGTGAACTCTACTTCTATAAGTGAGTACAGGAAGCTGTCTGCTGTGAGTGTTTTCAAGCAATGTGAACAACATATTCAGTTCTTGCTACAGAAAACATACCCTGAAGCCCGTACGCGAATGTCTCTGCCAAATTGGGTTGCTTCACAATGAAACTTAAAAATATATGTCCTCAAGACAACTGAGTGAAATATTGGTCAGAATTCCACTGTTAGGACAAAAATCTAGTCTGAGATTCACCACCCACATCTCCACTGCAGTGTTTTGCCTTGGCTACCCTCTTTTTCTCACTGATACCAGCAAGTAAGGTGGGTGTGTTGTAAACTGAGCTCTGCAAGAACGGAGATGGGTGCTGTGTGTATGCTTATCATAGTGATTTTTAGTGGGATGCATTGATAGTTGCTCTCAGTGGTGTATCTGCCAATGGCGATAACATCCACTAAAAGCAGTAGCCTGAACATGCCATTACCTATTTAAGCTAGATTTTTATTTTTCCCGGCTACCTCTTCATTTGTGGCTTTCAAGCTATTATCTTGCATGACTTCTGTTGGCAACAGTCTGGTTCTAAGGACGTGAGCTATGACTTTTGGCACGAAGTTGCCGTTGGTGGGATTTTGTGATGGGTGGAAGCCTTAGACAGACTGATGTTGCTATAGCAGTGCAAACTCCCAAGCATGAACCTGGTGCATAGTAACAAAGTGTTGTTGTAGAAAAGGTGCTGGTCTTGATGGACCATAACGTTGGACTTTTGAACAAGTCTAGTAGTTCCTGACTTCCAAATGCAGTTGACGTTAGAGCAGACCTGGTTTCTACCAGAGTTTTGCGATGGTGTAGCTTGGGAGGATCTGAAACCCCAGGCCAGAGGTGACCATGCTGCTCTTCGAATTGCCCTCACAGGCTGAGGAATGAAAGTTGCCCAGCTTAAAGCTTTGGGGATGCTCCAGGAATTCCCTGTGGCTCTGCATGCATTGGGTACTGTGCTTTTGTATACTGAGAATATTTCTGTGATCTCTAATTCTCTCTTGCTTTCTTAGGGCCGTGTGCAAGAAATTTGGGCTGCATGTGAGTCGGCTGATGTTGGCCTTCTTAGTTCTCAGCACTGGCATGTTTTGCTCATCTGCAGGTAAGTCTCTTCAGCAGTGAGGTTCACGATTACCTTGTCCATAGAAACCAAAGACAGATCTAGAGAGAAGAAAAATCACAGCACTAAAATCTCTCTCTAGCAGCCAGCACCCTGTGCTAGATAGTTTGCTCTACTGTGTTGCAGGTATTCCTTGTGGCAGGTGTGGTGACAGAATAGCTGTTGATTCAGATGACGTTCCCTGCATCACTTTCTTCTCTCTTCCCTCTTCCAAGGCATATTTATTTCTACTGTAGCCTCCTATCTCAGGGCAGTAAAGCCATGCCTTTCAGACAAGGTATTGGCCTCTTCCTTAAACACGGTTTAATCTAAGGAAGGAAGGCCATGTTTTTTGCGTTGTCATTTGTCTTTGTGTCCTGTCCCTTCTGGCTGGCTGTTCCCATCTGCCAAGTAAACCACTCTAAGTCTTAGAAAACACCTATTGTGGGTATTGAGTAAAGTGTGAAGAGAGGCCTTGAGCAAGAGTTTTCTGTGTAGTGTGTACCAAAATTTAAAGAAAGGGTAATATCATAGCTTAAGAGTGCTGAGATTGCCTATTTTGCCCTTTTTTGTTTATGGTGAATAGAGACTGGATTTTTGCTTCATTGGTCTTAGCAGCGTTAGAGGTCTCTTCATTCTGTCGTTATGTCCTGCCAGTCTGACCCCAGTTGTTTCAGAGACTGTGCCTGGTCAGCTCCCATTTCCTGCTGCTTTTTGTTCACTTCATTTTTTTCAGCCTAGCAGGCTGCAGAGGATAAAGCAAGTGTCACAAAGTGGTTATCCACCTGCAATCATGGATGCTCTGAAGTGAATTCTGCTGCTGGGTGCCACTGGGGAAAGAAGCCTTCACACCTAAAGGAAGTATTTCTGGTCTTGGCAGAACAAGAGCAGGAAGCCTCTTTTTTGCTTCTACTGAAATAAGAGCTTCCAGTACAACATCCCAGCTCCAATGGAATCAACGAGAGACGTTTAGCCTTATCTTGGCCTCGTGCAGTTCTCTAACTGTGGGAAAGCTATGCTAACTCCTTTCTTTCTTTCTGTTGCAGCTTTCCTCCCAAGCAGTTTCTGCATGTACACCACAATGATTGCCATGACTGGCTGGTACATGGATAAGACCTCTGTAGCTGTGTTGGGGGTGGCTGCTGGAGCCCTTGTTGGCTGGCCCTTCAGTGCAGCTCTTGGGTAAGGAGAGGGATGTTCAGGAGTTTTGCACTTTGTCAAATATTTGTCCCCTATTGTTTGGGGAGAATGTAGGGGCCACAGGGCTGGAGGAGCCACAGCCTCATTTCTTTGCTTTTGAACAGTTTAAGTTTGGGAGCATTTCCTGACCCTAATATATGGAGAAGACCTGAGCTGAATGAGTGGAATAGGGAGTAGTAGCAGACCCCAGTGCAGTGATGTTTCTCCTCCAGTTACTGTCATGCTTGTTTCGAGGGGACAGAAAATCTCATGGTGGGGCAAGATAAAGTCTCCAGTTGATACCTGATCTCTCTTTCAGGCTTCCTATTGCCTTCGACTTGTTAATACTGAAGCGGAGGTGGAAAAGCTTCTTAAACTGGTGTGTGGTATCGTTGATCATGTTTCTGGTAAGTCCCTGTAACAATGCAAAGAAGGAATGGATTGGGCTTGCAATGAATGGAAGGAGGGTTCTGTAAACAAAATCGCATAAAGCTTTTGGACTGTTCAGCCGAAAGCTTCTGGCACGCCCTACATCATAGACACTTTCTTCCAGGTGCCCTTGGTAATTGTGGACAGCTATTACTATGGGAAGCTGGTAGTTGCACCTCTCAACATTGTTTTATACAACGTCTTCACTTCTCATGGGCCTGATCTCTATGGTAAGTTTAAGATAACACAACAGGAAGGTAACTGGTCACTTTCTTGGTACTGTCAGGGGACAGTGACCTACCACGTTTTGTTTGCTGATCCTTTGGCTGACATACGCAAAAGCAAAGAGCTTGCAAGCTCCAAAGAGTGTCAGTTTCAGCTTTTTGCCACGCGGTGTCTCTCTCGAGCTGGGAATCCATTGGGCATTGTCACATTTCCCGTTGGGTTTCCAGTGCTTTGAGTTAAGCTGCTTTTGTTCACCTTTTAGCTTTGAAGTTCTGTAAACCGTCATGAGATGTCTCAGCAATCCCACATCACAGCAGAGAGCTGTTAGCAGCAAACTTGTCTGGAATGCAACGTGAACGCAACAGGCACAAATGAAATTGTTTATTAACAGTTTGGATTTGCCCTAGTGTGTGGTTACGTTTCCAATGTGCTTTCTAGATGTTTTTTCAGAGTGGTTATTTATAATAAAGACCTGGACGACTCATCGTATGTCTGAAAAATGCCAGTTACGCACTTGGATCAACTGCCAATTTAGTTAGAGAAGCCAAGGAAAGGGGCATCTGCATGTGTATGTGCATGTGTGTGTCTGTCAGCTTTAATCCCGTTCTTGGCTGTTCTTGTTCTTCGCAGTCAGGGTGCAGAGCCTTGGGAGAACATGTAGCAATGCAGGACCCATCGTTCTTTCAGTTCACGTCAGGTCTTTGCAGACTACCTGGTTCCACGCTGTGCTTTGGGAATCGTCTTATTTGACAGCGTGTGGCCTGGGCTTTGCTGGCAAGTAGCATCTGTGGTTACCGTAAAGGCATCTTTGAGACTCTGGAGAAGGAAGAAAGGTTAACTCATTCCCCATGCTGTTCTGGCAGTCCTGCTGGAGCCAGGGCAGGTTTGACTCGCATAGACTACACTTGATCTCCCTGTTTCTCTTGGATAAAAAAAAAAATGACAAGTGGCAGAGAGTCCAGAAAAAGCAGCGATAATAATATTTAGGCTCCTGTTTCCACTTTTCATCTGTAAGCCCTTCATAGAGTTTATAAACATTTCCTTTCTTCTTTTTGGCTTAAGCAATATAAAAATTATCTCTGCTTTCCAGAGCTGAACGCAGAGTAAAGGAAGTGTCTTGCCTAAGCTTGCAGAGTGAGTCAGTAGCAAAGACAGGATTAGTGTTTCATTCCGTATAGTTTTAATGTTAGCAAAAATTCAAAATTGATTCAGACAACATGTAGTTAGATATGGAAATAATTGCCATGGGAAATAACTAAGCTGGTAGCCTCCACTAGACTTAAAAAGGGGTTAGAAATGTTTATGGATCTCAAGGGGAGTCAGAGTTGTCATCATCAATTATAATGTCAAATTTAGAACGGGTGTTAAACCTTATACTTCAGGGTTTAGGGTAATCTCTTAGTGTTAGAGACCAGGATGATATCTAATCTGCAGGCAAATCATCTGCCTAGCATGAGATTCCCTGGTACTAGCCTTTCAGGATACTGAGTGACCCAGATCTCAGATCTGAATCCTCCTGGCAAAGCCATGGTCTTTGTTTGAGAGCTGCCATTGCACTTAGTTGCTCGTATATCCTGTAGTGTTAGAGTTGAAGAGTAATAGTGTATTATGTTTCTAGCAGAGCTAGAGAGGGGCGTTTTGCTGGAGGAAACTTCAGGGAGCCTTATGGCACAGGATCTCTACCATCTCCATAATCTGTTTCAGCCCTAGTGAGGTTTTCCAGGAGGAATTCAGCAGTGATTAGTAGTGATGAAGGCTTTCTCCCGCAGTGCCCTGCAGGCTGTATTTGGAGGCTCACTTGAAGGTCTTTTTTGAGTGGTGACTTGTTCATTGTGTTGTGGCACAACAGAGTGATGGCTACCATGCTGCGGTCCTTCATTTCTGCAGGAAGGCTCTGAAGCCTCTTGCTGTGACTCTTCCGTAATGGAAACTCCAAGCTGTGTCTCCGATGGGGTTTGGCACGGGCTCATCCATGACCTTTCTCCACACTGGTGCATGAGTTGTTTCCAGCGTCCTCCAGGGACCAATCTATTCTTAACTGTTTTATTCACAGTGACATTTGTATAACATCCTTGGGTTAATACAAGAGCCTGCCTGAAACTGCTCTTTAATGCAGTGTGGTCAGGACAACAGTGTGTGTTTAGAGAGCTTCGAAACACTTACGAATAAGGAAAGATAACACTACCAGGGGAGATGAAAGGCTGGCAAATCCCTTTTGGCTTTGGAACAGGGATTTCCCAGCTTTCATACGATGGGAGCAAAAGCTGCTGGAGGTTGCAGAGTTATCAACCTGTATCTTCAGTGTGAGCACTGCAGTATCTTTACTTTTGCCTGCAGACTGGAGTCTTAGAGGCAAGGCTGAATTTCTTTTTTCCTTTAGCAGTATACTCCTTCTGGATAGACACTATCTGTGCAAAGAATGTTTCCCCTTGTGGTTATTAGGTTCCTGGAGTCGAGGGAAAGTAGCTTCTAAGCAGATATCCCTGAGCCTGATTCCGAGGCTTTGTGGTGTTTTTGTTTGCATGTATGCTAAGAACACACAATTGGTGGCACAGCTTTTGTCCTACTTCCTGTGATGAGAGATTTGGCTCTGATTTGCAATGCAGTGGCATTTCGGGAAGCTTTGTTCAGCTCAGGCTCAGCCCTGACCAAATGTACTACAGTTGGAGTTTTTTATATGACACCTTGCTCTGTTGAGCCCTGGTCATTAAACAGAGTGAAAAATAAATCAAATGCAGAAAGCAGACTGTTTGTTATACTAGGACTGAATCAGACTTATTTAGAATGAGGGCTGTGACTCATTATCAAGTTATTGTGGCTTAATTAGTGCTTAACAGCTGAGCTGCAGTTTCAGTGTGTATACAGGCTTTTAGCTTGTGATAAATATTAGACAGGGTCCCTTAGCTTAAGCCTATTTTACAACACCTCTGTTTTGTCCTGAGCTGCCCTCACCGTTGCTGTGGTCAAGCTGCAGCATGATGGCTTGTTAAGCTCTGGAACTAATCTGGTGAGTTTGACTTCTGTAAGTGTTCCTGGAGCCTGTCACAGAGCACAAGGTTCGATGCGGTTTCTGGCTCAGTATCTGGCAGTGCTTCCAGTTGCTTCTTCCCAGTGTGGAACTGTAGTGCCATGAACTGCAACTGCTACTTTCTCCTACAGCTGACACTTACTCAGCGCTAGCATATTATCTGTCGTGGCCTGAAGGCGATGCTGTGGAAGCTTGTTCCCATCAGTGCTATGCGTGGAGAGTCCTTCAGTGTCCCTCCCCCTGCATGAAGGACGTTCTCCTAGGCCAGGACTTCTTGTATGCAGTGGGGCTGATGTCTTTCATTGCAGTCCTTCCTCACCTTTCTCAAGGTGATCACCTTGAGTCTTTGTGGATAACAACAGGAAAATTGCCTGGGAGGCAATGAGACTGAATGTGAGTCACCGCAGCGAACCAAGCCTGTGCCTTCTATATAAAACCTGATGTCTGCGAGTTACTTAACTTGCCTTGTGCGATGCACTATTCTCCTCCCATTTGGCTTCCCCCGCTCCAGCCAAAGCAGAAAGTTTGTCCTTGGAGAAGGAGGGGAGGTTCCAGTTCTTACTGCTTAAGGACAGTTAAGTTGCACTGGAAAAAATCTGAGGGACTATCCATTGTGTTAAAACTGTGCTTTAGACCAGCTGACCTCTTTTGTTAGCAGCATACCTCAAGAAACCTCTGGGCCTTTAAATCTGTATCTGCACTGTGGAGGTGCTTCATGAAGTGTCCTTCATTCCTGAGCCCCAGGCTGACAAGATCAGAGACCGGACTAGGGTGGGCCATAGTTCGTTTCCTTCTGTTTCCATAGCAGCCAGGGCAAGTGGAAAGGGAGACAGTGTGGACCCTAGTCTTTTAGAGATACAGGACTTGACCTTGCTATGCAGTTTAACTGGGGAGTACCAATTTCTATCATTTTAAGAAGACTTTTATCTTATCCTGGCATCATCTGTGATAAAGTGATTGTATGTTTTAGCAGTGAAAGTGGGGAAACAGGCTACATAATTCAGTTCCGGTCCCCTTTTATATAAAAGAGACCTTAGTGCTCTGTAGAAGTAGTTACTGGAGTGGCTTAACCTGTGTTAGCCTTGCCATAATTCCTTAGAAACCTATATTGTGACCCCAGAATGGAAGAATCTGGAGGCTGAGGAGAAACTAAAGCCCACTTTACATACACTTTTTCCAGATGTCCACTGGCAGATATACATGTGATGCTGCACACTGCCTCAGGTGTTTCCCTCACGGACGTTCCCCACCTCATAGCCCTGATTTAGTCCTAGAACGACCTGTTTTCTGCACTCAGTCAGGATCCTCCTCTCGGTGGGTGTTTAGAATTGCAGGGCTCAAAAATGGAGAGTCACCAACAGAGGCTAGAGAAAGGGGAAAGTATGTTGGCAGTATTGCAAAAATTGCTATACAGATAACTGTCGAGTCCGTCGCCTAACGTCTTCTTTCAGTCTACCATATCCTGTATTCCCCCTTTGTCAGGCTGAGAATTATGCTCCTGTGGGACTTGAAAGAATTACAAGGCAAATGGGGAGAGAGAGAGAGAGGGTGAATATCTAAAAACTTGCTCCCGTAATTGCTTTTTGTTTTCAGTGCTAATAGATAAAGATTTCCTAAATGAACTTTGGTTGCTTGGACTGTGCCTCAGTAACTCCAGCTGCATGTTTCTGACATTACCAGTTCACCTTCTAATTGTATTTAGTTGTAGGAGCTGCAGAGGTGTTGGGTTTTCCCTGCTGCTTTTCAGTTGTCTGATTAATTTCAACATGGACCCTTTTTAAGTGGCTCTGATTGCAGGAAATTGCTGCGGCATGTGACATATGTCACAACAGTGCAGTGATTAAAGCCCCCGCGTGTCACTTACCGACTGATTGAGCTAATCACACTGAGAAAGTGGCAAATGTGCAGAACTGGCGTTCTTCATTGTTCAGAATTTTAAGCATCTTGAGTTAAGAGTCCAAGTGAATGACAGTTGGACTGGAATTTGTGTCAGTTTGCATCCTTCCAGCTTTCAACCAACACCTGTCCGTATGTGTTACGACTTGCTGCTGTTTAAGGCTACACTGTAGGAACAAACTGAAGCAGGGAAATTTTAAACAGTGTTGACCCTGAGGAGGTATCAGAACTAGCATCTGGATGCACTTTGGTGGAAGCGTCTCAGTTGGATGAAGTGTGAATGTGAACTTTTTTTTTTGTTTGGTTGGTTTTAGTATATTTTCTAGTTCTGCCAGCATGGAATATAGCATCTTCACTCCAGGGTAATAATGATCTCTTGACATCCTGTGCTTCTGGGTTATCCCTGTGTTACTTTCCTGCAGTTAGCAAGAATGAATTAGGAATAGAATTTCCTGGCTTTATCAGTTTCAGCTTCTGCTTTCTTGCTTCATAGGCTTTCATAAGGCAAAGGTGGGTTCTCTGTCACAGCACCTGGCTCTCTGCTAGTCAAGGCTGATGTTAGTGACCTGTGATTCATGAGCAGCAGATGTAACACTGATTATGACCCAATGAAAAAGGAAAAAATAATTCATGAAAAGGCAGACAACAAAGTTTCTGGCATAGACATGACTGTAAGATATTCGGATACTTTTGTATGGCTGTTGACCAGTTCCATTGTCGCTTTTATGCCAGTTTCATGGGTGAGAGGCAGAACCGCGAGAGTGCTTTGAGTTGGCTCAGGCTCGCTCCAGGGGGCTGCATCCTCTGTCGAACTGTGACGTCTTCTCTCCACACCCTTCTGCTCTTTGGTTTCAAGTTGCGTGCAGTGGGGAGCAGTGATATCTGCTGCTGATTATCTCAATTTATTTCAGACAGAGAAGTAATGAAGTTACTGTAACATCTAGATCTCTTACATGTTTATGTTTAAAAAAAAAAAAAAAAAAAGTTTCCCTTTCCCATGCTTTAGGTACTGAACCCTGCTCCTTCTATTTCATCAATGGCTTTCTGAATTTCAACGTGGCATTTATTTTGGCTCTGCTTGTCCTGCCGCTGACTTGCTTCATGGAGTGTCTGCTCCAGAAATTTCATGGTGAGTACAAGATGGCTGTGAGAGCTGAGCACAGACAGCCCTGATCTCCTGCAGCCTTGCTAGTCAGGGAAGAGTTTACCTGCTAGAGTGCAGCTTTCCTTTACTGGAAGTGAAATGAGGTTCAGGGAAAGTCTTTGGAATAATAGCAAAGTTCTTGGAGCTCGTTACTCAGTTCAGTATTGACGTCACAGTGGAGTTAGCTGCGTAGAGAGGCACACTGAGACGTATCTACTCACAGGGCTGTCTGCGGAAAGGCAGAAATATCCGTCTCTTTTAAGGACGATGCCTTTGTTCCCTGCCTCCCTCTGCGGAAGAACATTGTGTTGTCAAGGCTGAACTATCCAGAGTAAGCTTGCAAATTGTACAGTACATAACCTTCAGCCAGACATGCAAACGCTTTAGCAGTAACTCCACCAGAAATCTTAAGAAGGGAAAGAAACCACGTACCCATTGTTGTTTCCATCTTATCTGCAGCTGGAAATGGTAGACCGGAGTTGGATGAGGAATCTTTTATTGTGCTTTTCCACTGTTGCTTTTTATGCCACTGCCAGAACGTTTGCTGCAGCAGTTTGGGAGAACAGAGTTGTTTTTCCTTTTCTTTCTCATTTTTGGGGCTGAGCCTGCAAAGACAGGACAGTCCATGCACTGGGAAGTGTCTCTGTAGGTGTGTATATACTGAGAGCAGAGAGAAGAGCTCCCCTGCAGCTTTTCTGCTTCATTTTGAGTTTTCTCTTAAATAAATGATGTCAGTTTAAACACACAGCATTTGGCAAGTGACTGTAGAGAGGAAAAGAGTATTGGGGAAGTGTGAGTTCTCCTCTGCCGTTTTCCTAAGGAAGATTCATGGCAAATGTTAAATGGCAGCAGCTGCCTCCAGATTCATCAGTCCAGTTAGGGCTCTGCTGTCTAATTTTTACTGGATACGAGAAACACTAACATCATAACCTTGCTGCCAATTTATGCTAATGAGTGCTTGCTTATATCTGTTCCTTGGATATGACTGACATACTGTCAGAAACCAGTAAAAGCCCAGTAGGAGATCCTGTCAATGCAAGACTTCCTGCTGTTCACTTAGTGTTTTTGTGCTTAACCGCGGGAGCCGTTCTGCTGGGTGCTTTGTTCTTATTGTCTGTGAAATGCCTTTGGCTAAATTGTTTAACCCTGCTGTTGGGAGTAGCGAAGGGGCAGAAAAAGGATTGAAAATTGTCAGGCGCTGTGCAATTCTCCTCAGTGTGACTAAAATTCAGGGTAATTGTTGTTATTTTTGAATCAGTTATTTCCTGTGTTAAGCAGAAGGTACCTGAGAGACCTCTCACATGCTGTCATTTTTGTAATGAAGCAATGAAGGTTGTGGAAACATCAGTGGCTAAACCTCTTGTAAGTGAAAGATAGATCCAGAGGAGATTCTTTCTGATTTTTGTATGTTCAGCATAATACACAAAAAGAAACCTGGTACTTCAGATTACCTTTTTAGACATGTCAGTTCTTGAGAGATTTTTGTCTCTTTTTACTTGGATTCAGTAAATGAGTCCAGTATCCTCTGCACGCGGTCTCCTAAAGCTTGTCAAGACTGTTGGTGTTTAGGAACCTATGAAAACTCTTCAAACTTCTGTACTGAATGTTTGGACATGTTACTTGGCTTATAGCAGCACCTCTCCTCGGAACATGGAGTATCTATGTCTGAAGGCTGTTATTTGGGTCTGAAAAATGACCTTCTGAATATAAGATATGGTAACATACCTGGTGAGTCTGTGCAGGAGGGCAAATAGGATAAACCTCTTACTCTTATGTTACTACTTTGCGGAGTATATTTTTTCTTTCAGTTCAGAATCTGGGCCGTCCCTACTGGCTGACACTAGCTCCTATGTACATTTGGATCATGATTTTCTTCAGTCAGCCCCACAAAGAGGAGAGGTTTCTCTTTCCTATCTATCCTCTCATCTGTCTTTGTGGTGCTGTGGCGCTCTCTGCTCTTCAGGTAAGTTTTAGTAGGATGGGTCGTTTTTTTAACGAGCTCATACCTTTAGGGAGTTAGCAGTTATAGCTAGCTGACTTCTGTAACGTTGCTTTCCAAAGCTTGGGTATATCCGCAGAATGTCTGCGACTGTGACACAATCTGCTGTGTTTACATGGCTCAGCACAGTCCTGTGTGTAACTTGTCATCATCTGTCTCTAGCTATAGCAGTTTCATTTTCAGACTTTTTCATGGACAGGTGTTAAGACTCTGGAAGCACAGCAGTTATAATATTGAAGGGTGGCATGTTGCTGCTTTTATGAGGTAAACCATAGTCCTCCTGTACAGGATAATGGGAAGTGTCTGGAAAACTGTGAGCCCCGGGATGCAAAAACAAAATTATTTGGGATTTCCTCTCTGAGTGGCATACCTAATGAGCTAATCTAATAATCTTGGACTTCAATGCAGGCTTCTGAATAGCCCAGCAGAAAAGATCAAATTTCATGGCTTTATAACGTGATAACGTTAGGAACTTTTCTGGAATTGTATGAAACGATAAATAGTTGAGGATATTTTCTTGCCACTAACTGTTCCGTTGTGACTTTGAGTTGTTCTCCCACCCTGCAAGGGGGAATCTCTGATGGAGAGCAGTTGTGGCGTTGCAGTGCCAACACAATGTAACATCCAAGAGGTGTCACAAGGATTGATAACTTGCCGGTAGTGCTGTGGACCCTTGACCTGCTGCTGAGCTAGCTTTAAGGGGCAGGAATATGCGTGTGTAGGAAATGCATTTTGTTGTACGCTGATAAGAATCCTTCACTGATTTGACAGGGGAAAAAGATCTTGTTTAGGCATCAGGAAATTGCTTTTGGCATTTGGAAGAGTCAAAAACTGGATGTTTAATAAATGATGATTAAAACACTTAGTAGAGTAAAACATTCCAAGTCAACAGGAGCCTTGCCAAAGCTCAAAATTACTCATCTCTCCTCATGCAGGAATGATGTCGCTAGTCCCTGTTATAAACCCTTCCCGCTGTTCTGCTTTGGTCTGCTGTTACCCCTCTGTCCTGCTATACCCCACTGTTCATCTCCTAGCCTCCCCACCAGCACTGTCAGCATCCCTCAGATCACTCTCATGCCACCCCAGTCACTCACTAGATCTATCCTGTCTCTTAATTTCCCATCACTGCTGATGCCTTGCAATGTTAGACTTGGAACACCGCAGTTGAGTTTCAGTCTTTGAGTTCTTACAGGTTCAGGCTCTGTCATGTAAGCAGATTTATTGCTCTAATTGAGAATTGCTGTGTGCTGTCAGAAGATTAATCGGAGGGCAACAGTTTAGAACCGCTGTCAAATACGGCTTTAGGAAACTCTAGTGTGTATTTCTGTCCTGCGTGTTTTAACACTATTTGATGGAGTTTTGTCCTGCATTCAGTATCCAGCTGAGAGCTTAGAACTGATGCCATGCTAACAGAGCAAGCTCATCAGAGAAACTACTCCCTTGAACCGCATGAGTCTGGTTGTTATGAGAAAAATGCAAACAAGTCAAGAGGAACAGAAACCAGATTAGGACAGGAAGTGAATAATCCCTCCTGCACAAAGGTAGAGCAGGAGAGACGGACCAAACCAATTATCTGATGTAGTTTCTCATATTCTCAGTTTATCAGTCATATCAGAGTATGCGTAACTTCATATTTTCTTTTTGTCTCTCTCTCTCTCTCTCCCCTCAGAAGAGTTACCACTTCATATTCCAGCGCTACCGCCTGGAACACTACACAGTCTCCTCCAACTGGTTGGCTCTGGGGACTGTCTTTCTCTTTGGCCTGTTGTCATTGTCGCGCTCTGTTGCCTTATTCAGAGGTTGGTATTTTAGACTTGTCCTGTGCTTTTTGGGGTGCTGGTCTTGACAAGTCTTAGGGCTTGCTGAAGTTGTGCTGCTTTGACTGTACCAACATAGTAAGACAGTCTTGGGAGTTTGGATGTCATTTTACCGGGGAAAGGAATAAACTGTGATGGTCACACTTAAGGATTGACTAGATGTATGTGCATATTACTATAATTATATCCGTTAAAACACTGCTACCCTTCATCTTCAGCCAGTGTGACTATACTGATACAAAGTCTGTATCCAGATCAGTGTTTCTGCAGATACTTAAACTTGCAAACATATGCTCCTACTTGAAAAAGCATTTTTTCCATGTAACATTTGTAATTAGGTGCGTATGTCCTTCATGGAGATGGATTAAGTATGGTTCTTAAGTGCTTTCTTGAATCAGGGCCATGCAGTGAGCCTTCCCTCCTCAGCAAAGTTAGGCAGCAGCAACGTTTTTCTCTAGATGGTAGCCATTAACAGTTGGGATAGGAGAACGTCAATAAAGGTGCTGTGGTAACAGCACCTCTAAAACGTGGGGATAGGAATGTTTGGAGTCCAGCCACTTCTTGTTATAGACCATTTCATTTATTCAATAAGTTACCAATTAGAAGATATGTATGGGACATTTATTTGTAGTCTTTCAAGATAAGTCATGCAAATATTGTCTACTTCTTTAGCCTCGCTGACAACTTTCTGCCTCCCGTAGGCTACCATGGGCCTCTGGACTTATACCCAGAATTTCACAGGATTGCAACTGACCCAACTATTCACACTGTGCCAGAGGGGAGGCCAGTTAATGTCTGTGTGGGAAAGGAGTGGTACAGATTTCCAAGCAGCTTTCTTCTGCCAGATAAGTAAGGCTTGATTTGATGAGATCCATAAGTGGGGGCACTTCTCCTAAGAAATACTTATGGGAGTAATCTTCTAGACCTTATATCTCTGTGGACACCAGCATATCCAAAACACGGGATTCAGAGGTCTGGTGTCAACAGATTATGTTGGCCAGGAGCCACTGAAAATCTGTGGTGTGACTGCTCTTCTAACAGGGCTGTCTGCTGTCAAGCATGAAATGCCCTTGGTTATATTTTTGGTCTTCTCCATGCAAAATCCTACCAGCTCCTGCGGTTTCCTGCTCGGCTTTCTAACACTGTTCTCTATAGTTGGCAGCTCCAGTTCATCCTGTCAGAATTCAGGGGCCAGTTACCGAAACCATTTGCCAAGGGACCAATGGCAACGCGGATCATTCCCACGGACATGAACGACCAAAACAGGGAAGAGCCATCGCGATATGTAAGGATTGCATTCCTGTTTTCTTTTCCTTATCTTACTATATCGTTCATATTATTGTAGTGCCTAGAATCAAGGATCAGATCTGCCCGTTTTGTGTCCTGGGGACTGTACAGCTACAGAACAAAAACGAGTTTTCTACAGCACTTAGAAATTTCCCCATTTGTATATCCGGTTTCTGTTTGCATTTCATCTCCCTATTTTTCATTTAAAGAGGTTAAAAAAACCAGCCAAGCAAAAGAAGTAATAATTCCTAGTTGATGCAGTTTTGGGTTGAGTACAATGTGTTCCTGTACACACAGGGGAGTGACCTGAATGAGTAGTTTGAAATCCCCCACATAAAATGTTTGTCACTGAGCAGGGATTGAATTTTTCTTTTGTACTTTCCTTTCTTTTTAAATATGGAGTTACTCATCATATTTGCAAGAGAGGAGAAGGAGTTTAATTTGGAACTTCCTTGAAACAATTGCATCAGTGATTTCAATGGGAAGCTGTTTAAGATAATGTATACCAGTATTATTCATTTGTTACTTTACTTGGTTGTCTTGTGTTACCTAACCAAAAATAGCTCTCACAGATGAATATTTTTTAAATATTGTCAGCTAACTGCTTGTAAAAATTATTTAGCAGATAAAATTTTAGTGGTGCACTAAATATCAGATATTTAGTCATCCTTCCTTTTCTGTCTTAAGGGGTGAATGAGAGGAACTGCCAAGAAATGCACAGTCCTTTCTTCATCCTCTCTCAGCACCTTGGAGGATAACTTTGGTATGTTCATCAGTATATAGGAAGCGCTCACATGTAACGGACCAGGTTTCTGGTTTGTATGGGTGGATGTAGCTTCACTGAAGACAGTGGACATGCGCTCGTTTATATGGCTCATGACTTTGACCTTTTACACGATATACAGAGTAGTTGTGATCAGCTCTCAGAAGCGGATGGAATGCAGTACGGTAACAGAGATGGAGCGTATGTGAGTGAAAGCCAGGATGAATCGGCTGGGTTGAAGCTCTCTTATTTTGAGCCTCGTTATGTAGTTATTGGAAATGGAAGGGAGGCGTGTACCCACCTGAGAGAAGCTGTCTGCTGCAGTGCATTTAATTTACGAAATCTTTTAACTGTGGCGTATTTTTAGCACAGACAGCTGGCTGTCTGTGCGCAGCCTGTGACTAATGGAACGAAACACACTTTTGTTTCATGGTTGTTTCTTAATGTCACCCTACAATTTTGTTATTTCTGATGCAAGCGAGAGGGCCTGGGACATGTTTATTTAGTGCAGTTAGAAATTAGCTACTTGATGTAAATTTTAAATGGGGTTTTAAAACAAACCTTTTCTTCTGAGCTGCTAAAGCATACCCAGATTCAAGAATCAAAAAAAAAAAAAAAAAAAAGGAAAGGAAAAAAGTCTGCAAGCCCTGGAAAAATGGAACCATACGTAGCAAATAAATCTAAATAGAAGGAGGCTGTTGGTCATTTAAAGAGGGGGGAAAACAAATGTTTCAGAAGGATTATCTGAGCCATAGACAGCTCAAAACCAGTTAATAGCTGGAGAAATGAGACTGATCTGTTGGCCTCAAGTGTTAATATCTATTCCTGTGCTGCTTGAAAATTGCCGAGTAAATCTCACTGTTTCTGTTGCTATGGGACACTGGGGAAAAGAGTGATTTGACCTTCTTGTTTTGCAATTCTTCCTTTCTTAATCGTGTTGAACAGCGCTTGCTTGTACTTGTCCTACTGGGGAGATGCGTTTCTCTCCAAAGCTACTAAGGAGGAGATAAAGGATATTATCTCTTGAAAAGGGGAGTCCAACAAGAACAGTAGATTAGGCCTAAGAGCAGAAACACTGTTTAAAAACTCCTGACTTCAGAGGGTTTTTTTTTTTAAACACTTTATTTTCACTTTTTTTCCCATTCCCTTCCTCTCTATTTTGAACGGTAGCAATCACTTGCTGCCCATTTTTGAAAGATGTGTTTGAGTGCTTTCAGTGGAACATCTCTGTTTCTGTCCAGCACATTTTAACTTTATCTGTGGTACACCAGACAAGCTCTTGTCATGCTCTGTGTAGCTGGCCAGCATCCATCTAGGCGCTCATGAGAGACGTGCAGTTGCAGAAGTACAGCAACAGGCAGGACTCCGACTTCTGCCTCTGCAGAATATTGTGTCCTCTCCTGTTATTTAGCATGTGATCCAATCTAGTTCTCCTCCACCAATTACTGTAACAGTTGCACCACCTTTATAAGAAAAAGACTAGGAGGAGGAAAAGGAAAGGTGAGAGGAGAAGGCGATAGGCTGTACTTTATAAATTCCATGTGGCTCCATTCACTAAGGCTGATATCTTCTGTCTATTTAAAAAAAAAAAAAAAATTCAACGTCTGTACAACACTGAAGTCTTGTGTAAACCCTCAAATAAGTGTATAGCATCTGTGCTGGCCTTCTGACCAGGGTGAATATCATCCTTAGCTTCAGCATAACCTACGATAATACACTGTGCTCTACTGGGACTGGTAGAAGGGAAATCTGTCCATCACCTGACAGATAATTCGTTTGCACTGGAGGTTCCAGCTCTTTTAGCGGGGAACATTTAGAATGAAAGAAGTGAGATCTGTCTTACTGTTTGAGGCAGCAACTTGTTTCTCTGATAGAACCTATGTAACTTGTAAAACAAACTTGTTTTGAGAGTCATTTTGCTAATGAGCCGGAACCCCTCTCAGGGCCTGGAGTGTTCTTCTTACACAGTGCAAAAAGAGGATTCAACACTCTCCTTAGCTGAGTTTCCCATGGTGTAATTTCATCTGCTGCTTAGCTGTGATGCCGCTGAGCCATCTGGTATCTTCTTAATTAAACTATTTTCAGCCTAAATTGTAATAATAAACCCCAAAGTAGCTTCAGAAAGGGAATCCGAGAATGTCCAAGGAAGTTTGCAATAGACGTTTGTAAGAGAGCAAACTGAAATCAAGGAAACCCTCAAAGAAGAGGCTGAGGAAGTGAGTCAATACAAGACGTAGTCATCCAGGAGAATGTTTGGCTCATCTCAGCTACTTGGATTTAAGATAACATATGGGTAGGAGCCTTTGCAAGCGTGCCTCAGCTTTTGATTTGACTAATTTAGCGCTAGCTGCCCTGCCTTTTTTTCCCGTGTTTTCAACATGACAAACGTTTGTAGTGGCTCTGAGGAAATTTACTCCTTTTTTGAAACACCTGATCATTATATATCACCTCCATGTTTTCCTAACTGGGTGAGATGTCTGCGCTGTTGTGTCATCACCAAGACACAACTGTGGGAGTGCTGGCTTCCTAAGGGCTGCAGACAGATCTCTCATGAAGGTCAGGGGCCCTCAATGCAGAGGGCATTGAAACTAATCAGACCAGAACTTGAAGCTCCCCAAACTTGGTTGCATTCCTTTCACCAGGCATGTAACTTCAGGAATGTGAGTCCTCCCCTGACAGGGTCCATAGTCTTTCTCTTCCAGCCCTGTTGCCCGGACACCGTACCAAGTCTGAAGGGGGCTGTCTTTTACAGATGTCAATGATATGTGACCCTGCCAGAGTCTCCCCCATGAACTGAGCATTTATAAGCTTGTGCAAGCTTAATGGCAGTGCAGAGCCACTGAGGGATGAACAAGGACCAAGAGCTACTATCATCAGCTGAGAGAGAGGGTTTTTTGTGTGCGCGCTGTCGACAGAATCTGATTATGGCAGTGGGGCCACAGAGCTTGTCTCCAGACAATAATTCAGCACAGAATCACACACACAATCAGAGAACGGTTGACGTTGGAAGGGACTTCTGGAGATCATCTAGTCCCAAACCCCCCTGCTTATGCAGGGTCACCTAGAGCACGTTGCACAGGATTGTGCCCAGATGGCTTTTGAATATCTCCACAGAAGGAGACTCCACAACCTCTCTGGGCAACGTATTCCAGTGTTCTTGGTCACCCTCACAGTAAAGCAGTTTTTCCTCGTGTTCGGACAGAGCACAATGGTTTACTTCTGTTGCAGTGTTTTTGTTGCTGTTTTTGGTGTTTTGTTTTGTTTTTTTCCAAAAAATTGCAACCGGTTCACAGCAAGATGCATGATGGAAGTTCTTAGCTTAGTACAAAATCTCCTTAGAGGTCATTTAGCCACCTCATGATTTCTCCCGATTCCTGAAAATGCAGTGAATTGCTCAGTGGTAGGTGTCCTTGTGTATGCCTGAGGTTGGGAAGGAAGCATGTTAGAAGCATGTAACTGTCCTCCTGCTCATACAGTTGAGAGTTCAAATGCAGCCTTGGTGGCAGCAGGGCATTTGTAAGGAGACGGCTGAAGCTTTCGGTTGCTTGCCAGTCAGTTTTCTTAGTGCTTGCTGGTCTAACGGGGCTGGGATTAGATGGTGCAAAGCATCCCGCCACTCTGATATCCCTGTCCTGCCAGGTGCAGGGAAGCTACAACCTGCAGCTGAGCTGTTGCAGTTGAAAACTTGATATTTTTCCTAAATTCCCTTGTTAAATCTCTTTCCTCTCTCCCTTGTATTTTACCTGGGAGAAACATCCATGTGACTAATGTTAGAGTTGGTAATTATTTGTTGGTGAGAAATTATGCCCTGTTTGTTCCATGTAACCAGAGGAAAGACTTGGGTGACTTATTATTTTATATCTAAATATATATATCGTAGTTCCCTGATGACTCCCAAATCAAAACATCGGGATTACTGAAGGACACAACCAATAGTTATTAGGATGTACTGCACTTCACTGGTGTCTTTTCTCAGAAATTTCAAGGCACTGAACTACTTTCTAATGTAGAAGGCTTAATAGCACATTTGAGGCAGAAGTGGGAATCGTTAGTTCCTTTCCTAGTTGGAAAAACGGGAGTGTCACGAGGAGGGATGGCAGACCAACAGAAAAAGCATCCAAGAGGTCTATGCGTTCTCGCTTATCAGCCAGAAACGCTAGGGATAAGGCTTTGAAATTACTGTGATGTGAAGTGACGGCAAAGCACGAGATAGTTGCAAGCATCAATCCTGTTGCCTGCTAGTGACTCTCAACTCACTACTGCAAGCTTTGGCCAGAAAACTCTGCCAGCTCAGGATGTGAGGATGTGTGACCGTTGACTGACAAAACCTAGCACCAGCAAAAGACCCAAGTACAGAGGCAGAAACGGGTAGAACTTACTTTGCTCCAGTGACTGAAAATCATTATGCCAGCAAAAGCTCAGCCTTACTGCTGCAATCCTGCATCTGTGAGAGGTTCATTTTGCTGGTGTATTGTAATGATACGTTTACTCTGGTACAGTTTAGACCGTGCCTTAGGCTCTGGGCTGCTTGCTTCATTTTTGAAAATGGGACTTACATTCTTAGGTCACTTAGAGACGATTAGATCTCCAACAGGAGGACAGCCTTTATTCCTAATAACTTGTCCTCTCCTCTAGACCTCTTTCTCTCTAGGCAGAGGTTTCTGCACAATGTATCCTTTCGTTGAACTACTTTGTATGTTACTTATCTCATAACTTATGGTTATTATTAAAAGGAAATTTGTCCTGATAGGAGCTCAAAACTTCTTTGTAGCTGACAGTTCACATTTGTCTTGGCAGAGTTTTTCTTCCGCGGCAGCTCATGTGCACGTCTTTACAAGAACCTGCAAGGAGTGGGGAAAAGAGGACGAGAGGAGAGGGCTATTAGCCAGAAAGGGCGCAGCAGCATATAAATGCATAGTATGGTCTGTTTGTATCCAAGATCACTCCTCAGTAGGAAGGAGAAGGTTGCATAACGCAAGTCTCCCGAGGACACTGCCCACAGCTCATTTAACTGGGAGGTCACACACACAATTCATTTCTGTGATGTTGCTTCCTCGAATACGTTTTCATAATTTAGCAGAATGTTGCCAAACATTTCTGTCAGGGCAGAGCAGTTACTTGCGTCACAGGCAGCTGATAAAGGCATGACTGTGCTGATATCAAGTCCACGTGGTCTGAGAGGTACAATGTGATGTCCATCTGCTGCAAGCGAGACAGTGAGGGTCAGCAGTGCTGCAGTACAGGTTATTCATGCACAGACCCAGCAGGGTGCAGCGCATTTGTGCCAGGCAAGGAGCTTACTCTGCCAGAGCTACTTCGGTTTTCCATGATTCCGCTTAAGCCCTAGCGAACCCCAGCTAAACTTGTCACAAGGTGAGAACACCAATGCTATGAGGCTGACAGAGTTAACAGTGTGATCAGTTATCAGTAACCTTAACCTGTGTTGGTCTCTGTATGTATTTTGCCAGATGTGCTAGAAACGTATACAACTGATTGTAAATGCACTTGTGTAGGAGGCCTGAAAAATTACGCGAGGGAGGGGAATTTTTTTTTTTTTTTTTTTTGGAAAGATATCAGATGTGGTATGTCTTGGAGGAAAATAAACAGCAGAGCACGAGGCACTGGCATGGGTTTGTATGCTCCCCTGCAGCCTGATCTAGCATCTACTTTGTTCTCTTTCTTGGGCAGTGGGTCAAGCCCTTATTGCCTGAACTTAACTGTGTGTTCTTTAGGGCCAGGGCTCTGTTCTCCTTAGCAATTGTACAGCACCTATACGAGGTGTTACTCAGCAGGGTCTTTGGATGTTTATATATTGCAAACGGTTCATGATAATGATAAACAAGTGCTGAGTTGATGCATTTCCTGGAATCCACGTTTAGTATTCCTCTGGTTTGCATAAACATTCCTGTGGATGTGCTTTGACTTAAGGTGCTCTTCTTACTGTTGGGCACACTCTTCGGAGTGTTATCCCTGAACTGCTGCTGTGCTATGGCAGTGATAGGAGCAGTTATCCATAGATCACTCTCAAAACGAGAGGAAGCTGCAAAGGTCTATCCTTTTCAGAGTTTTCGTCAATGATTGAGAGAAAAAGGAACATGCTTATTAAATTGCAAACGATGTAGGAGCAAGTATGTTGAAGGAGAATTCAGAGTGATTTTGACAAATTGTAGAAATGGTCTGAAAGCAACAGGAAGAAATTCTGTATGGACAGGTGCGTTAGACAGAAATAATTAGGTGCACGCATATAGGATGGGGACCTGACAGTTAGGCACAAGTCCTTCAGAAAAGGATTCAAGTGTGCAATGAATCACTGGCTGGATACAACTGAGCAATGCCATGCGCCTATAAAAAGAGATGAGCTGCATGTTGGGTTATATGCAGAGGAGCATGTTATGTTGTTATGTGACTCATGCATTGCCGCTCTGCGTAAGCAAGGCCACCGTTAAAGTGCAGCATGCAAATTTGGGTGCCACATGCAGGATAGATGCGACTATTTGAAGACATTTCAGAAGAAACCCATGAGAATGATCCCAGGGTTAGAAAAACATGACTGTAGAGGAAAGACTGAGTAAAAAGTGATTGTTTAGTCTAGAGAAGAGAAGACAGGAGCCATCTTCAGATAACAGAACTCAACTGCGTAAAAGGTATCGCAGAGATGATGATCTGTTTTCCTCGTGCATGGTGTAGAACAAGTAGGAACAGGCATAAACTGAAACAAGAAAGATTCAGTTTAGACATCAGGAAGCCTTTCTAACAATAAGGATAGTGAAGCCTTTTGCCTCGGGAGTTGTGGAGTCAGCATTTAGAAGTCTTTAAGAACTAGTTAGACATCCACAAGGAAAAGCTCAAGTAGAATTGATGCTGCTCCCTTAAATTCCCTTCTGTGACCAGACAGTTCCTCGGTAAAGAACTGTCAGTGGTACTTGTTCAGAGAGAGACCCTAGGGCTCCTCTCCTGTGATCAGAGCAGTAGTGATAATATACAGTCCCCATAAAGCTTTCACTTGAAAAATATTTTCAAGAGACCACTTTCACATTCAAAATATTTTACCAAGTTTTCTAAACGAAGCGTTTCACCTGTTGCTAGAAATGTAAACCCCTTTTTGTAGATGCATAACAGCAGCCTGTGTCAATGAACGCGTATAACGAGAAACCTACAGGAAATAAAGAATCTCTTCCTTTCTGCAGATTGACATTTCCAAATGCCATTATCTGGTGGACTTGGATACAGCAGCTGAAACCCCAAGGGAGCCAAAGTATTCCTCCAACAAAGAAGAGTGGATCACCATTGCCTACAAGCCATTCCTAGATGCGTCCAGGTATGTTTTACGTATTTGAGAGGGAGGGAGAAAGGCTGGCAGGCCTATGAACTAATTCTGTTTGTTGGTCTGCTTACAAAAGTAGCTGTATACTGGGAGCAGAGCTATGTTGGCAAAAGCCAGCTTGAAAAGATCTTTCCAGTAAAGACAACTTCCTGGCTACAGTACAACCGATGTCAAACTTGTACTTGCGATGTTTGTTACCTAGGCTGCTTGAGAGGATGAAACTAGCTGAGAAGGGTGGGGAGGGAAGATTATATTTAACAGGAATCCTCCCTGTGCACTTCTTGCTGAAGTAATATATTTTTTTTGTTTTGCTTTCTAAAGAAATGAGACCTTTGTCGTCTCCTCCCAATAGACTTTTGAATCTCCTATCTTGTTTTGACCAATTCAATAGACCAATTAAGTCAGTCTCAAAGAGAGTGGGCTCTTACAAAGTTTTATGAAAGCTGGCAGATGGATAGAGGAGACAGTTTCAATGAGTGAAAAACCAGCAAGGTCACTCCTTTATTAGACGTCAGAGAACCTGCCTAAGAGACCGCTGTCAGAATCCAGGTTTCATTAGGTCTGCCCGCTCACTGAACAGCTTGCTTGTGTGTTTGGACAAGAATTTTTTTGAGAAGCATAAATTAGAGTGAAATTGCCTTCCTCCAGGCTAACATGCAGTGGAATCAGGTTTGTCGAAATGGGAGTGGTGTTAATACATCCTTGCAAGGACAGCAACTCTCAGCTATGAAGGGATGGTTATTTATTTGTTTAAAGCTCTGGTCACCTAGCTGTCATACCAGGACAGAGAAGCTGTGTGAAAAAGTCTCTGGAAAAGAGTAACACTAAAGTCAACACCTGTTTTCCGTGTGAGACCTAGTAGTAGATCTGTGTTGCACAGGGAGGGGGATTGCTGAAAGTAGTTAGAGAGTAAGGAGGAGTGGAAATGTGCTTTCCCCAGAAGTTGCTCTCATTATTCCCAGCTTGCTGACACAGATAAGTTTCCTAGGCAAGGTTTTTCATGAACTGTTTTTGCTCGGAGACCTGCTGTTATTATGTTAGAGCAGGACTTTAGGAAGGGAGAATGAGATGGCCAGTGAGTCTAATTAAAGAGGCAGTAGAAACATCTGTGTAACAGTTTAACAGGACTGTGTAAACAGACAGTTTAACTGTGTAACAGGACTCCTTGTGCAGAGCACATGCAAATAGCTTCAAACGTTCAGGGGCATTTCTGCTTTAAATACGCGTTCAGGTGTTTTCAAAGGTGGTATGTCTTGCTATTCTCTGCTGAACAAACTATGATTGTTTGTACCTGATCTAATGTCCTTTGAAGTCAATCAGAGGCGCTGGATCAGGTCCAAGTAAGATTTTTGAGACACTTGGGGTCCCATCATGGGGATGTCACTTGCTAGGGGTGCTTTCAGGAATAGCAGGCTATCACGACAGCCTGCCTAGTGAAAGCAAAGCAAACTATTCTGGTAGGGCTGTACATGTCACAGGCTTCTCCGGAACGTCCTGGATTCTTCATGGCTGTTTTCTATGGCTTTTTCTGATTTTTTTTTTTTTTTCCCCCCCTCTCCTTCCTGTCCTCAGCTGATGTTTGGTAGAGAAGGAGTTGATCTGTTTTGTGGGGCTTTTGGATTATTGCACCATGTTCTCTTCAGCCTCCACCCTTAGCCTCTGAGCTTCAGGTTACAGCTCCTGAGAGATATACCATTGTTCTTTCCTCTGAGCACCTTTCCTATCCCATTAGAAGCTGTGCCCTGCTGAATACAAGCCAGCATCTGTCTGGGAGCAGGAGGGCAGTGTGTCTGCTCCTTTTGCTGGTAGAAAGCTGTGCCTGCAACTGTAGGCCTTACCACAGGAGGGACACGAGGGTTTGGAATCCTCTGCCTTGACGCAGGGTTTCTTTTGTTCGTTTCTAGCTTGCCTGGGGATGTTTCCTGTAAGGTGCGCTGGTGTATGAGATACCTTCTCAGTCATGACCCCACTCTGCTCTGCCAGGCTGCATGGCATCAATGTAAGGTTTAAAGCTTGAGCCAAAGACATAGCTCAGTACCTATCTGGTTAGCTGAGTCCTTGTCACGCTCTCTTCGCTTTAGATGTTTTAATGCTGTTTCCCTTGTGAGCTGCTCTGTGAAATTCATCTGCCGCTGCCCTTCTCATTTGGGGAAATGGATGGGATTCAGGAATTTCCCTATTTACTGCCAATCCTCTTTGTCTTGGCAAGCACAAACACTGGGCTGGCTGCTCAGGAGTTCTGCTTCCTGAACCGCATAGGCAGAAATGCTGTTGCATTGCAGGCTGCTCTGCCCTTCTAGGGAAAATGCTGTCAAGGTACTTTTGCTGGCCTTGGGAAAGTAACTTGTTCCCAAGCTTGGCAGTGCAAATCTGTCCAGTCATCTTGATTTGACATATTATAGTATGTGTTGCATTTAGATGGTCTAAAGTCCAGCTAGAACCCTGAGCTGCGTTTCCTATTGGCTAAGCATCTCTGAAGGCCTGGAGCCAGCCTCCAGGTAACCCACTCAGTACAGGGATGTAGATGTCTGAGTTTGGTTCTTTGTATTTGGTTTATGAAGGGAGAGAGCGTGTGGCTGCTACCACTGGAAGTGACGGTCCAGCTTTTTGCAGCAAAGGTAACATCTCACCGTGGACCGGCAGCTTGTTGTGAGGAGCTGGGAGCTGCAGAGAGATCCTGAAACTCCAGAATACTGTGGCCATGGTAATAATGATGAGGTGAAAGAGCAGAACAGTGGGGAAGACAACAGAGTCCTTCCTGGCTAAGCAATAATCGAGTGCTTAGAACAAAGGAACAACTTACCTAAAAGTAGCGGAGGGAGGAAGGGGACCTTTTTGGCTGCAGGGTCCTCCTTAACAAAGGATGCTGTTGCATTAGTGGGAGACTAGAGTAGAAGAGGGTTTGCAGAGCGTGTCCCGAGAGGAGATCAGGCAGTCAGGTCTTTGGCCTTGCTGGTGTGCCTTGACAGCCTCCTTTCCTTCTCTCCTTCCTGTTCTTGTGCTGCACTGAAATTCTCCGTGCTGTTCATTATCAACGCCTCACAGCTGGAGCAGAAGGGAGGTGCAGTGCCTTCACCAGTGGAAGAGGCCAGGTTGCCATAGCAGCGTGTCTGATTTACATGCCTGCTGTGAGTACCTCCAGAGCTCCCGCAGTTTGGAGCGCTGTGCTCTTGTCCCCTCAGCAGGCTTTCAGCAGTTGGCAGGTGGGGCAGATAGAGTGCATGGTGCTGGTGAAGGACAAGAAGGGCATGTGCTCAACTTGGGGTATCCCTGGGGCTGAGGGAACCAGCAGTGTCTCCCTTGTCTTGTCACCCTGCTTGTCTGACAGATTTTCTGTCCCCCTGATGAAGAATGGTAAGTCAATAATCACACCTTGCCTAGCAGGGGAAATGCTTAGCTATGGGCACAGCTTCCTAAGACAGCTCATGGAGCGATGAAGAGGAGAAAGAGCAAATCCTATGAGGTCTGATCCACCCTGTACTCCAGCCAGTGTATCATTTAACAGTATCATGTTAAAACTTGGATTCTACAGACAAAGTCGTGGCCCCTTTTGCAAGCCCATCCGTATCAGCATGAGCAAGAGAAATTTTAGAAAGGCTCCTTTTGGATTGCCAGCTTCGTTATTTTTTTTGTCACGTATTTTACATTTTTTTTTTTTTTTAATTTTAATTTGGCCCTTGGAGTAGAGGTAGGGTGGATGTGTGATTAAGGGCCTGAGCTGGAACTTGGTGCTCCTGTAAATGTGGCGCGGTCTCTTAGCATCCCTGTGCTGCAGTTTTTTATTTGGACCAAAAGTTTGTTAGCTCCTGTTTACCTCCAGGAGTTCTTTGATGATGAATGAAAGAGTGAGGCTCTTCAATTTCATAACAGTAGTGGCAAATAAATACATTTTCATCATTTGGCATCCAAATATTGAAATTTTGCTGCAATGTCTGTAGAAAGGTTTCCCATAGCAAGTGCTCATAACCGATCTGTTGAGCTCTTTGCTCTGGATGTGTCATACCATTTCTACAGTAAGACAGCGTCGTTTGCTCCCCCCCCCCTCCTCTGAGTGTGATTGAATAGTAATTTGCATAAAATAATGGGGTACACGCAGTTCCCAAAGGGGGAGCTGACAGAAGTTTTGCAATAGATTGGCAGCTGACAGATGAGCCACCTGGCAACAACTACAGATCTGCCTGGCAATCAGATAAGTTTCAAGGGTCTGTCTCATGTTGCAGACCCGGGCATTAACTGTTGTGCTTTTGCTGAGAACGGAAAACCTCATTTGCAAAGCAAGTACTCCTGGAGGATCTTTCTGCCTTGGGCTGCGGCAGCCTCTCTTGCTGCCAATCAGCCCTTCCTTTGCTTGCTTCTGGCCTTAAGCCCAGCTTGTGGAGCCCAACTAGAGCGGGCACATCTGAGCCCCAGAGGGAAGAGACTGAGAGTTATTGCTGCCATTCTTCACCCAGCTGGAAGTTTCTCTCAGGGCATCATGATGCACTGAGGCTGTTTCATGGATGCAACAAGTACTTCTATAGCCCAGAAAGTTATTGGCAGACCTGACGACGGAAAAGGTATGGAAATCCCAGCAAAAATATTTTTGTATTTTTTAATTTGGGACAACAAATCTAAGCAGTGCGTCTCTCCTACAGTTGAGAAGTTGATCAGTCTGGGGTGCTTAGCTACAAGAGAGCAGCAGTAACCCACAGTTGTAGATGTAGCAGCATGTTAGGTGCTAGAAATTGATTAGGTCAAAGGATCTCAGAGCTAGTAGATGTGTGGGCAGAATTCTTTGCAGAGTCAGACGCACAGGTCTGTGGGTAGAGTCAGGGAAGATGCGTCAGGACCTTCCTATAACAATTCAAGCTGCTTGCGTTTCTGAGCGTGTGCCTCCTCCCCTCCCAGCTCAGCAGAATGACGCATCTCTTAAATCCCGCACCTGCTTCCGCACAATAATTTGGAAGTGCCCCCCGCTACCTATGAAGTAAGTGTAAAAGCGCTATGAAAAGGCAGCTCTTTTTCTCTCCCTTCCTCCCCTCTTTTAAAAAAAAATAATAAAAAAAAAAAAGTATCCCCTCAAACTGACCTCTGGG